GAGCCCTGGGGTGGGCTTGTACCTGCACTTGGAGAGAGGAGACGGTGTTGGGAACCCGGTTGCTCAAAGGCTGGTTCTTTCGAACGTCCGTGATCAGCCATGCCGGCAACTGTAAAGGGCCTTTACGCTGCATTCTGTGCTGGGGGAAAGCGCCCGTTACCGGTAGCGCTTGAAGGGCTCTTCTAAATGGCTCTGCAAGGCTTAGTCCAGTCTGCCCCGTGCCTGGAGGGACTGTTCATCCCAACAGCAAATGAAGGCTTGCTTGTAAAATGGCTTATTTCGAACTAGAAATCATTCCCTGAATACAGGTGGAACAGCTCTACGCTTTGGTTCTGGGCAGCGTTTCCCATGGCCAAAGGAGGAGCACCAGGAGATGTCTGGTGCTTTGAGGGGAAGCACCCTGCGGGGGAGAGGCATCTACGCTATTAAATAACGCAAATGGCTCGAGCAGGCTGCCGGCTGGGGGGCACCGCGGCTCTGTACCTACAGCCCTGCGCAGCACCGAAACCTCGCTGGGGTGGGCAGTAGCAGTACCTGGAACTGGGCACCTCAGGGGGGGTTTAAACCTAAAAGTTTGTGTCTGATCTGGGCTCAGTGAAGTTCCGCTTGCACACGTGCCTACAGCACCTGTAGGGAAGGGCGGGTAATGCACTATTGTAACCGCTGCTGATCTCGTGCAAACATTGGTGTTCTCAGCTGTGTGAACTTGAAATGTCTCCAATAAATAAACTCCGCAGTTTGTGTCTCTTAACACTTCAGTGATTTTTGCAAAGCAACACGCGACGCTGCCTTGGGGTCAGGCTCCGAGGTGAGGGGGTGGTGAGCAGCAAAAAGGTTAAATTGCCTTATCGCAGGGAGAGCCGGAGCCAGGGCTGAAGACGCTGCCCGCAGCAGCAGAGGGAGGAGACCGACAGGTACAAAACACTGCAGCGCTGGGAAGGGGAATTAAATTAAGCTCCTGGCCTTAACCTTTGCTCACAGCCTGCGGCTGAGCGCCTGCGCCAGAGCTCTGCCTCGCTCTTCTCGGTTCGCGACAAGTCCCGACACGATTTGGGAGCAGCGGATAACCTTCAAAGCCCATGGAAGCGGAGAGGGAGCACTTGCACCCGCCTCAAAGCGGGCGGCCCTCCGGCCTGGCCTGCGCGCTCCACCTAGCGCTCGCAGCTCCCTCCTGCTGCTGCCAAACTGCAGGGAACCCCGACACGAAGCTGCGGCGGCAACAGGATTCAAGCAACCGCCTCAGAACTCCGATGTATTGACGGGACGTCAGAGTCATCCCCCAGCCCGGCCGCGCTTAAAACAAGTTTCTTTTTCCTTTGCTTTTCACCTCGTGTGCCCGGCGCGGCGCTGCCTGCGGGCAAGGGGCTGGCGGAGCTGAAGAGCGGCCGATGGCGTTACTGGCGTCTGTATTTCTAACGGAAAACATTTTTGGTAACAAGGTGCTTGGGGAAGGCGCTTCTCCTTGCTGTCCATGGAGAAGCAATACAACAAACAAAAAACGCTTGAAGTTTTACTTTTCCATCTTACTTTATTTCACTTTTTCTAGAAAATTCCTCCATAGTTCCACAAATTTAACAAAAAGTTTAAAATTCAGGACAAACAATCCTGTAACGTATTACAAACATGATTTTTTTTTTTTTTTAATCTTGAAGTTAGTCTTGGGCCAGCTGAATTTCTTACAGCTGAGTGAAGAATTCTTTCCCCAACACAACTTTTAAAATCCTCAAGTGACAAGGTATTTAATACCTCGGCTCTAGGCAGAAATACAATTAAAAATTATCTAGAAGTTGAAGTACTTACATTTTTCTTTAGGAGTGCAAACTCATCTTGTCAGTTTTTGATGGCTATTTCACGCCCCCAGGAAAGCAACACCGATGGATTTTCGCCGTTTTAGAAGCAATACTCGTCCAAGGTGCACAATGGTTGTCTACAGCATCGGCCCGAGCGTGCCAACTAGCGAGTGCCAGGCACCCGGGCTAGTAGAGAGAAGCTTCCTCCGAGCACCCCGCCCGCGCGCTCCAGTGGGCCCCCGCCGACGTGACAGCTGAAACCAGAGTGACTCGGCGTCTCCGCAAGCGGAGACCGTGACGGGGGCAAGCTCCGTAAGGGAAGTTTAAGCCTCTTTCACCATCAAATACGTTCAAGACCTGACAAAAACCGCTTCTGGATTGTTGCACCAATTGCTTTGCTAGTTCTGATGCTACCGCCGCACACAGCAATAGAAGAACTGGTGGCAAAAATCATTGCACTTCCATGTATTCAGCCTGACCACGGCACAGCCAGTCTCGTTACCTACGTGTCCAATATTCCTCAGCTGGTGTTTTGGGATCCAGCCAGCCTTACTATCCTTTTTTTTTTTTTTTGTTTTAATAGTAAATGTCAGTAATCAAAGCCTCAAGGCTTAATACGTACGCAGACCAAGACAACAGGGAAATGCTCCCGACCCCTCTTTTGCCCTTTAATACAAAGGCCAAGGACAAAGGAAAAGCTGTGTCCTGATCTTACCTCCAACACGATTCAATTCAAAGCAACTCTGAAAGCCTTCAGACTGATCAGCACTTGTTCACGCCTTCAGTAACAAGATGAAGGACACTGAAAAGTAACAGAATTCTGTCCATTCTCCTTGGAAAAAACCATTATGGCTAGAAGTCAATTTTGGATATTTTTTTTTTTTCCTTTTTTTAAACAACGCAAGCTACTACACATCCTCGAAGACCTGAAGCAATGCTGACAGCAGCACTGCCACCTCCTTCCTATAGCACAATAATCCATCCATGCTCTCAAGAGTGACACAAGAACAAACACTTTATCCACAAATACCTGTACACGGCATGTTCAGAACAGCATTCAGCCAGCCTATAGAGAATCTACACAGGGAACTCGTTCATATGTAACTAGAAGGGGACACAAGACGAGGCCCAAATTTGACCGTTCTTTGTTTGCAGAGTCATTCCTCCTGTGGTCCCCGACGCTACCACATACCCCAAAAAACAACAACTCTGTAGAACAACTAAGTACTTGCAAGAAACCTTTTAGTAACAAATCAGCATGTGCACACAATGGAAAAGAACTATTGCTGGGGGAACAATCCTATTTCAGGTTTTCAAGGAGATTATAAACAGTCTAAAAAAATCCATGTGTAAAATACTTCTTATAAAAACCAAACAAAATTCCTATCAATGCTCATTAGACTTCACGAATAAAGTCGGTTCCAGGACAGGACGATGCCGCAGCCCCAGGCACTTCCAGCCAAGTTCAGGAACACCCTCCCACACGTGTTCTTGGACTGCCTGGGAGCAGCGTGACCATTCAGATCTTAACGTGAGAAGGGGGCAGAAGGGAGGTGGCACCTCCGATCCCTCGTGGGGTAACGCTGGAGGCTACTGACAGTCCCAGGAGAAATGCTGCCAGGATGGGCGACACGGATGCAGTGGCTGTGGGAGTAAGTTACCCGGGTGGAGAGAGGAGGCAAAGACCTCGGGAGATCTCGGGCTCAGGCTGGCTACCACCGCTGCTCCTATTGCTTCGGGGACAGGACAATGTCACCAACCCCGCCCTTCACTGGGGGCAGCGGGCAGGAGGCACCGCGTGCCAGGGGCCGCTCCGCACGCCCAGGGAGCCACGTTCGGGGCCGTAGCGACCGCACAAGGCTTGCCTCCTCCACGCCACAGACCCAACGGAGACCATGAGTAGTCCGCACGTACCCACCACGCCTAACACAGCACACGGGCGAGTCCGTGACACTCGTGGACTGCGTCTGCCGTCCTCCACCGCGGTGCATCCCACTGCCAACCAAGACAGAACTGCAGCTCCTCCTCTTCCCGCTAGTCCTCCACCTTCTCCGTGTACATTTGCGCACAGGGTTTCTATCCAGGCTTGGCATTGTCCATCAAGAAAGAAAACAGCTGAGATCACTGTCGTGACAGGGTTTGCACCTGGCATGAGCTTGATTTTTTTTTATATATATATACACGCACACACACACACACGACACATGAAAGATGGTACAAAGACAAAATTAATGGGAATCGGGTCAACATGACCCAACTCAAAAAAGCTTATCATCATATTGCCACTTAAGTTGATTAGTTGCAACATTTCCATGATAAAGAAAGGGGTAACCCAAAACAAGGGACTGCAATTTCATAATGGAGAAGGGACAGCAAACCCTGGAGCGATGCAACCCCCCGGCTCCCAGACGGGGCTTTCACAGATATGGGAGGTCCACTCAGGAGCAGGGGGCTCCTCCGGACCGCTGCTCTCCTCCTCGCTGCCTGCAGCCCTCTTAACATTTGGCAAAAGCTTACACACTGATTGGAAAACGGAGCAATTCTTCAAAAAAAATACTGAATTTAGGGAACAGGAGTGTAAGGCAGTTTTGATGAAAGCTATAGGACTTTCCTCACACCCACCTAGACAACGCTTGGAAGTCAGTACTAGTTTAACTAGAAATACATGAAAGATTCTGGATTAGTGTTTACTGTTTCCTGCCATTTCTTGAACAGGCAGCGGGGCGGGAGAGGAAGAAACAAACCTTGACTTCACTTGGTTTTTACATCAGTGTTTTCCAGGTGTGCCCCAAGATAAAATTCTCCCTTGTTTTGGTTTTCCCAAAGTACAGCCACTACTATAGGGGCCACTGTAGGAGATTCCTCTTTGAGAACATAGAACAAAACCAATCACGTATTTTGGCAACGTTATTAAACACTGACAAATGAGAAGACGA